AGTTAGGTAGAGCAGAGAGAGTGTGTGATTTACCCATTGAGTTCAAATAGTTTCCCTGTCGAAGAGTGGACTTTAACCTGGTTCAGCATCTTAGCCATTATACTACACTTACATTGTCAACATGTTTATACACCAGATGTATGCATATTAATGGCACTCAAACTATGCACTAATTAAAATAGCATGGTTCTAATATGCTTGTTATTCAAGGTTAATTTTGTAAAATAATTCTTCAAATCCATTTTGGCTTCACAAAAGCTTTTTATGTCAAACTCTGATTTTCATTCTAATAGAGATGTCCCAGTGGTACGTTCATTCACATTAAGTGAGGGAACAAAAACTATCAAACTAACATGTTTCAACCCAACTGTAACATCACTTAATTTCCTGCTTAAAATTAGTTTTAAAATCTGTTTTATAAATGAAGTTCCTCTATTTGTCTATCTCTGCACAGATGGATTAATTAAACACATATGCATACAAATGCAAAAGTCTTTGAAACAGATGACTTCCCTGCCCAAATAGATAAATTCAATCTTGACTTATTTTCCCAAATCACAATGTTTAAATGTTAGAAGTGCTTTGGATTGACTATTCAAACTCAAAGGTTGTCTGGTTTAACACAGATTGGAATCATGAATGGCACTGGCTTTTATATCCCTGTTGCATAATGGCCATTTTGGGTGTTCTAGTCTTTAATTTGGCCAAGCAACTTAAACATTAAAATGTTTAGAAGTGGTTAGTCTGGTTTTCATCTTTCCAGTGACAAGTATATGTGAAATTCACTTGTTGGGTTGGGAGACCCACGCTTGAACTCAGATGAGGGAAAGGAAGGGATTTATCCCGATTCCATTGAAAATGCTTTTGTTATAGCACTGAAAAAACTTCAGAAGTTTGTCTGTACGAATAACATCTGTTGACCAGTTCTTCAAAAAAAAAAAAAATCTCTGTGGTTTGTACTAAAGCATATGTCAAAAACCAAATTAACCCAATGAAATATCCATATAATTCTAAGTAGATGTCCATATAACTTCACCATCTATTCTAGGCATGCTGGAACCAGGATCTTTTGCACTGCTTGTAAAAAAAAAAGCTGGTAAATATTAATAATAAACACTCAAATTGTTATTTGCAAAACATTTGTTTCACAAGGATAGAGGCTTCGTTTTCTGGGAGCTCATCAATTTTTTTTACTGCACTCTTCCTGTTCTCTTTTTTAATGATTAAGAAACGCCTTTTAATGTCACATATATGCAAACCAAGCATTTAGAGTCCCACGTGTTTTTTACTTTTGATTGCTAAATCTAACATTTGTGTTCCATTGGCAAATAAGCCTCAAAAACTTGATGCTTTATAAAGAAGCTTTCACTTTCCTGTTCCTTACTCAGAGGGTGTCTTAGCTTAATTTTTAATGGAAAAAAAAGATTCATTAAGACATCAATTGGCAGTCTCAAAGGATAAGAATAAAATCATTTACCAAGCTCAAGGCTGAAAAATAGGATACTTTAAAGGAACTCTTAATTTTGTTCCAGTGCAGGTACTGTATAGATTTAGATGTACAATGTATACAAGGACTTTCTCAGTCAAAATAATTAATGAATTGTAAAGTTGCTATTAAATTTGAATTCCATAATAACTAACATAAACTGTTAACTAACATAGAGTAACATAACTAACATTAACTGTTTCAACTCCTACCCTCAAAACAACGTTGTAGAGCACTGCACACCAGAACAACTAAACACAAGGGCAGTTTTTTCCCCCAAACACCATCATTCTGCTAAACAAATAATTCCCTCAACACTCTCCAACTATTTACAAAGTCTGTACTGTTAATAATCTTCTCATCATTCCTCTCATCACTCCTTATCACCCATCCCCTCCCACTTGTGACTGTATGACTGTAACTTTGTTGCTTGTATCCGAAGGTTTATACTGACTGTTTCCTAGTATGATTTGATTGCTTATTGTACCCTATGACTATCATTAAGTGTTGTACCTTATGACTCTTGATGAATGTATCATTTCTTTTATGTACACTGAGAGCATTCGCACCAAGATAAATTTCTTGTATGTCCAATCACACTTGGCCAATAAAGAATTCTATTCTATTCTATTCTATTCTAATTTTCTATTCTATTTTATTCTAACTTTACAGGCCTGCACAAATCATACTCTGCCCACTTTTATGACTTTTGTAGGGAGGTTTGACTTTAATATATCCAGTTCCTGATCTCAACAAACTAAGTTAATCTGATTTGCCACTGCATAATTTCAACATGAATTTGTATACAACTCTTATTTCTATTTCATTTAATTCATTACTTCCTTGCTTCTAATTAATTAATTTGCCATTGCATTCCAATAATATAGGTAGTCATAGACTTACAACAGTTCATTTAGTGACCAAAGTTATGGCACTGAAAAAACTGACTTATGATCACTTTTCAGTTATAACTTTGTAGCATCCCCATGATCATGTGATCAGTTTAGATGCTTGGCAGCTGGTTCATACTTATGACCATTTTTCTGTCCCAGTCAATGGGGAAGCCAAATTCACTTAATAACCAAGTTACTAACTTATCAACTTTGGTGATTCACTTAAGAACTGTGGCAAGGAAGGTCATAAAGTGATGCAAAACTCTCTTAACATGTCTCACTTAACAAAAAACTGGGCTCTATAAGTTGAGGACTATCTGTAGAATGTTTTTTCTGTGCAAACCATATTGAAAGCTAGTTTGATTCTAGTTTTTCATTCTGGCTTGAAGAATACATGTAAGTCACATACCAGACCAATAGTAGAGGCAAATTCTGATAGCCACAAATGGAAAAAAGAGACTTACTACATCATTTTGCATAAATATAATTTAGACATTTTAATTTTTCCCAGATGAATAATCTTGTCACTGACCACAGTATGCAATCCAATGGGTTTAACGTTTACCTGGTAGGTATGATAGAAGAAACCATCCCAAGAGACACTATTTTTGTACCAGCTAAACTAGAAAATCAGAAAAATTTTACAATAGAAAAGTGCATTGTAAATGATTTGATAGTTCTGATTTTCTGTCCTGGAAAAATAAAGTATTGTTTGATGTTGTGCTGTCCAGCAATAGCAGAGAAATCTGCCAGAGAACAGAATTTTCAGTGTAGCCTAATTTCAAAAAAGGGAATATTTTTAATCAACATCAGCATTGTCTTCTACTTTAATGCTCAACATGTCCATGAAATTTATTTCACAATATTATGGTAGTGATCTGCCTTTGCCTTCTTCCAAGAGTTTTTAATTCCTAGTACAGCCAATATATAAAAGGCAATAGGTGAATCAGTGTATACATGTGGTAAAACGAAGAATGGTTTGCAAGGATGGAGATATGGAGATACTGCAATGAATAATGTTGAGGTGTATGCAAGGCAAAGTTCAATATCCTTCATCTTTCTTTTGCTCAATTCACTTTTCTCTCCTTTTCATGTTGCTTTGAAAGGGAAGAACAGATTAAATACATGTGCAATCTTGCCTATTTCCCATGAGGTTTCAACCTGTCTTATATTTGGATGTGTTCTAGGGTGCTGCCACCTTACCAGAAAAATATTCCAGGAACTGCCTGTTTGTTTTCCCTTACAAATTCCAATTTTATTTGGGTCTAATGTTTCATTGTTCCAGGAAAATATACTATGAATGTTTGCTGTCAAACTGTTTTCTGTCTTGGAGGAAAATATATGTATTAAGGGGAACCTCGTTTGATTACATCATCCTAAATAGTTATTTAATTTGGCAGTCTTCAGCTTTCCAGAATGCTTAAATGTAAGATGAGTTGAGTGGAGATAACATGACACAGATTCAAGAGATAAGTGATCTTATTTTTCAGTATCTTTTCCCCCACCCCCGCAAAATGAATTAAGAGGGAGATGTGGACTGTGTGATGGCAGTTTAACTTTTCATTAATTCCCTCCCTTTCTGACCATAACAGGTCCTTAAAATGGAAGAAAATTTCTTTTAGTAGTTTTAGTAATTTCTTTTCGTACCTCCTAAGCACCTGTCAATGTTTAACAATACATCAGTGTCATTAATTATATTTATTGCATTCCACATCGCAGATTCTTCTTTTTCTTCTATAAGTAACAGAATCCAGAACTGCTCAAGAATAAATAACCTTTATTTTCAACTTCTTAGATGAGAACTGCCAAAGCAGATGGAAGGCTTCAGAAATAATGACATTTCACGTTTATACTACCAGATCCTTGAACTGTGATTTATCCTAACAGTTCACCCTTTCTGAGGGAGTAGTCCACATGCAAGAAAAGTTGAATGTAATCCAACATACCGAGATTTGTCTTACTGAGAAAACACGAATGGACATAAACATTGGCTTCCTTATGATATAATCCTAGACTTATTTACTTATACATGAACGTCAAATTTTTCCCTATATGCTCATAAGATTGTAGTCTCCTATGTTAACTTGTAAGAAAGTAAACTCAATGGGTTTGAAAAGCAATCTTTTCTGAATAGACAAGCACATTCCAGTATCAGAATAATGCAAAAACTAAGTTTTGAATCTTAGAAGACTCAGAATAATTTCACAATCCCAATATACTATTTTTCTCTTTCTTTCTTTCTTTCTTTCTTTCTTTCTTTCTTTCTTTCTTTCTCTCTCTCTCTCTCTCTCTCTCTCTCTCTCTCTCTCTCTCTCTCTTTCTACAAATTTGAATTCCAGGCCATCCTTCTAAATAGTCATAGATTTCCTTTTATAAAAAAGAATGATGATGTAAAAAAGGAAGATACTGTCCTGCAAGTAATCTCACAAAAGGGGATGTAAGCTACATGCTTTTTTCAATACCAGTGGTGAAGGTAGTCCATAGATTAGGTAAATGTGTAGCAGCAAAACAGTGTTCAGCATTCAGTGTTCTGCCTAAATATAATCTTTTATGTTTTCCCTGAACAGGAAACATGCTAATATATTTCTCAGAACAGATTTTCTTAATTTGACATGTTTGGATTCCAATTCAGATTATTAAAAATATATTTCACGCTACAAAATTTAATCAGACTTTGAAATGAAAGGCTAATTATTATCCTTCCTAGTTGTGGAGGAATTCAGCCCTTTCTGCATAATCCTCAAAATCCTCAGTCTATCAGACCTATTCACACATATATACCACTTTTTTCAGTATGAAGAAACGCCCCAGGACCGAGTATGTACAAAGCTTTCTTCGAATATTGCTCACAGTTAATGGCACATGCTCCCCTTGTGTTATTACAGATACAAAGTGGCCATGTAATGCATGAAGTGGCAAAGATACCCAGGATATGACTGTAAGTCTGCAGCAAATTTTCGGAAAACAGGATTAAAAAAAAAAACATTTTAGACCAGGGGTTCCCATCCAGGGGTGCGAGATGATATTCTAGAGGGTGCGAAAACTTGGGTTTAGAAGTTTCAAAATTATAGTATATATGCATAATTACATGCATATAATTATTTACTTTTGTAAGGGGTGTGAGAATATATCAGAAGCATTCTAGGGGTGCAGGGTATAGAAAAGGTTGGGAACCCCTGTTGTAGACTGATGTATCACAAACAATAGGAAAATAGGAAGCTTCTTTTTCTTCAGCCTGGTTAGGTCCTTTCCAAACTGTCTTTTGAATTGATATGGTATTTAATTTACATGATTCTCAGTAGCTTCTAACATTTCTGCTTAAGCATGATGAAAATTCAGATTTGCTTTTCTTGAAAGATGTTTTATTTGGTTGCCATTCACTCAACACCTGATAAAGACTTTGGAGGTTTGGGGTAGAAACCAGTAGTTATTGAGCTATTTGAAGAAAATCTAGGAAATTGATAATCCAGTGGTAAATCTGAAAGAAACACATATGATTAGGAATTATACTTGTATCACATCTAAATAATCCCAGGAGCTCCAAAGAAAATGACATTTGTTTCTTAAGCTTTTAAATTTGTTTGCTTAATATTGCAACAATTTAATCACACCCCAAGCTTACATGTTTTGTGTTTAGAGCATGGGTGTCAAACTCGCGGCATCACGTTGCTGTCACGTGACGTTTCACGCTCCCTTTATGGAACTGGAGTTGGCATGGTCTGCACATGATGCATCCGACCCATGGGCTGCCAGTTTGACACCCCTGGTTTAGAGTTTTCATGTCTGAGCATATAAAAATGAATGTTTTGCTTTTCCTGTGTGAATATCATTGTTTAAAATAAAGCAAAAGGTGATTCTAGATAATTTGAAATATGTGTTTTTAGTAACAAATTAAACATATTGTATCGCTTATACAGGCAAGGACGAACCATGACAATAAATAATATAGCTAATAATAATATTGCTAGCATATCCAAGAAAACTAAGTTTAGATTGTATATAATACTTTGCATTAATTATTTAATCCTAATTTTAAAAGACCAATATTATGTTTCTCATAATCATATTATATCTACAACCTTGGACATTATTTTCTTACAATAAAAAATACATCATTAATCTGAGGTTTCCATGGTTGTTGTTACTCTAATGGCTACATAGCTATTGTCTGGAAAAAAGAGTAATATCAGCAAAAACATATTTTTTCTAATATTTTCAGGAAAACTGAATTATTTTGATAATTAAAAATTGATATATTATTTACAACAAATTATACCAGTTGCATCTAGACCTTTTAAAGTTCAGAATAATTTGTTTGGGTAACTAATGTAAATATTAAAGATAAACTCAAATGGTCTTCTTAAAAAACATATTATATATTGTTATTGCTTACAAGAATATTGTATATTATCTCTTTCTTTATTCCAAGTACAAATCTACCAATTTCACAATAATATAAGTTTAGAAACAGGTCATTTGGTTACATTTTATCTATAAAATGGAATAATTTGATTTGAATAATCTACTGCTATTTTTGCTTCCTCATTAGTAAGCATTATCTCTACAGACCTTTAGTAAACATCTACCTTGATGTTTATATTGGTAGGATGTATATTCACACAGCTTGCCTGAAATAATATGTATTAATGCTGATTTAAATGTGACTTTTTTTTTCTCTAGGGTTAGCCTGTACCTCCTAAAAGTGCTCAATTTTGAGTTGGAAGATAAACATGTAAAACTAATAATTATCCTATGTAGGTTTCTGAGGGATTGGAAGAATGAAATTGTTATATCCAGTGACAGTCTTCACTCTGGTCCGCTGCTAAAGCGAGAACTGGAGCCATCGTTGATTGGTTGAGTCACTATAAAAGGGAGCTGTCAAACAGGCTCAGCTGTTCTCCGTCAGCCGGCTGCCGAGTTAGCGGTGGTACGCCGGCTGGGTTACTTTGTGGAAAATAAAGCCTGTTAACCTTTCGCCAGCATCTGCCTCTCATTCCTTGAGCGCCAAACTTAAAAATACATAATGAAATATTTTGTTTCTAGAGTGGAATCTATAATTTGTGACCATAAATTTTGTATGGCTTTCTGGTTATGTTTGTCCTACCCTACAGTCAGGGTAAGAAGACGGGGGAAAACTAGCTTAGCTGGTAATTTTTTTACCCATCAGTAATACTAGCACAAATATTTTGTCTGTAAAAAAAAACAAAAAAAGAATAATTGATTTTCTTTCAAGAACTGATAACACTCTATTCTTTCTTAGATTTGGTCATATTAAAATGGAAATGCCGAGATATGAAAAACCAATATGACTATTTGATAGTTGAAGCATTCTTTAAAAATGCTCTTATATTCTTTGTCACTGACTTGGTACTGAAATCATATTATTTCTCAAGGATTTGATGCTTGCTGGTAGTTACTGAGTATTATAGTGGGCTGTAGTAGCATATTGATGGGAATGTCTGTCCAATTTCAATCCTGTTCTTTAAATTTCAAATTCAACTGAAAAAAAAAACAGATTAAAATGTCCAAAGGCAAAACAGAGAGCCAGTTTGGTCTAGTGCAGTGGTCTTAAACCTGTGGCTCTGGAGCCACATGCGGCTCTTTCGGCCCTCTGCTGCGGCTCCCTGCTGGCTGATCCCACCACTGGCTGGCCCTGCCCCTCCCCTCCCCTCCTTGTCACTCCTCACCTGGCCTGAGAAGGTAAGGGTGATGGCAGGGGATGGAGACTCACTCCATATTCCAGAGCAGGAGGTGACTGGGTGGAAGTGAATGATGTTGAGTTGGCCACACCCACCCAGTCACACTGGTTGTCAAATTATTGGCTCCCAAGGTTTTCTTTTCTGTGGAAAACGGGTCCAAATGGCTCTTTGAGTGTTTAAGATTGCAGACTCCTGGTCTAATGGATAAGGCAGCAGGCTAGAAACCAATGACTGTCAGTTCAAGTCCCATCTTAGACATGAAAGCCAGTTGGGTGACTTTGGGTCAGTCACTCTTTCTCAGCCCAACTCACTTTACATGGTTGTTGTTTTGGGGAAAATAGGAGGAGGCAGGTGTGTTGGATGTTTTCTGCCTTGAGTTATTTGTAAAATTAATAAAGATGGGATACAAATGCATACTGTAAATGTAAAATTAGGATGAAGCCACATAATCTACTTTTTTCAGAGCTTAAATAAATGTTTTTTTTTTTTCTGCAGGTATGTTCTGGCTTTTTACAAAAGCACTCACTAACTGGCAGATGAAGATGAAACAACCACCGGAGTAATCTGAGTTAGTCCAGGAGAAATAATATTTAGGCATCCAACAGACTTAAAATGTAGAATGGTAAAGGTGTGCTTTGGTTCCCCTTTATAAATATACAAAATTCAAAGAAGGCTTAGGGTTGCCAAGTGGCAATAAACAATAAAGGAGAATATTTGTAGCTCAGGGTTGAAATGAGTCTCTCTAAACTTGGTTGTTTTCTTGCAGACATTTCAATACCCAAACTAGGTTAACATTATCAATGCTCTAATACAAGGATGTCAAACTCGTGGCCCGTGGGCTGGATGCGCCATGCCCACTCCTGGATTTAGCGAAGGCGAAGAAAGTTGTGATATATCATGTGTGACGCCACAAGTTTGACGCCCTGCTCTGATATGACCCTCATGACAATAAACAAAATAAGAATTACAGATCAGTTGTACCAAGAACTTCAGAAAACTGCATAGAAACAGGTTAATGAGGAATTTGACAACAGAGGATTGTCTCCTTTTATATATCAACTTGTTACAGAATGATGCTGAATTTTTTTTGCATGCGTTTTTTTTTGCTCAGTAAATATTAGTGTGTCTTAATAGACCATACACAATTCTTTTGGAAGCTTTTTTGTCTCACATCTTCTATGTCTCCCCCCACCCTTCTATTTTGTTGATAAGGAAGTTCTGCCCAACTTCCCCCCACCCTTCTATTTTGTTGATAAGGAAGTTCTGCCCAACTTCGCCTCATAAGATTGAACAAGAAATGCTTTAGTTTTGAGTACTTCCTTATTTTCAGAATTTTGTTATGATTGAGAGATATCTGATCCGGTATTCAGAAGATCCAAAAGAGGCTCCCTGCTGTAAAAATTCCAAGTCCTTTTTGATCTCCCCCCCAATCATAATGCATGCCTGAACACACCAGGTGCAATTTGAACATCACCATTCAAGATCATGCAGAATACTGAAACAAGGTCAGGCTTCACAAAAGCTTGGCTGTTAACTATGATTTTTCTAGAGATTTAATTACTTTAGGAACTGGCTTAGTCTATGGAATGCTCACCAGTACTACTCAGCAAGTTTAACATTTTTATCACGGAGAAGTATGAAGAAAATAAAACTTGTCCATAGCATTGTATGGAAAGAAAATTCCTTAGATAGCTCTGTGCTTCTGGACTTAAATGTAAGTCCAGAAGCACAGAGCTATCTAAGGCCTTTTCCTTCTGCTCTGCCAAATCAATAAAGAAGCCATTCTTTAGATCAGGGATGCCCAACCCCCAATCTGTGGCCTACTGCCCGGATTTAGTCTATTCAAAACCGGGCCACAGAAGCGGTGGGTGAGTGAAACTGCATTTGTGAAAGTGGCACATGCACAAAACTATCCCTCTCCCGGCCTGCTGAGCTGGAAAGGTTGTAGGCCACTGCTTTGCCTTCAGGGATCACCTGACATAATGGTACTCTATGTGGGAATGCAATTCCTGTGTTCATCAGTCTAATTTCTTATCAATAAAGCTAAATTGATAACACTGCATGTGTACTTTTGTACTGTGCAGCTGATGTACACCAGATGTTCCAGATTACTTACCTTCCCAGACAGCCATGTCTATCAAAGAAGCTTGTCGGGGATTATGAGAACTGTAGTGCATTGAGGGCATTCCCTACTTTTTTTTTTTTTATCAGACTGCGCCTTCCTGTATTTGCTAAACTTATTTTATTGAAAACCTCTGTGAGTCATGGCTCGGAGCAGTTTATGAATTAAACATTAAGTATAACAATCAAACTGCGTATTGTGAACCTCTTTTTACAAGATTGCTTGGCCAGCCTTTCTTTTGAGTCAAGCACAGACATTCCTAGTATATATCCTCGCAGGCTGATTTCCCCAACCTACATCTATCTGTAGGAGGAAAAATTATATGCCTTGGGTCATATACAAAGTGAGATTAACTTTTCTACTAGAAGGAAAAATGGTTTGTCTTTTTAAAATAAAGGGACTGAGGTTGAGAACTGAGGCTGACAAGAGAAAATGGGACGCCTTTTGTCAACCTAGCAGCCTCACTTATTAAATGATCTATAAACGGTAGCAATCTAGAAGGGATTATGGAAGAACTGAGATAGAGGGAAGTCTGTTTTGGTTAAAAACAACTATTTTGAAAGGATAAGCCAAAAAGTGTGGTTAGAAATATTGTGTGCAACGTTACTTTTAATTTGTGTGCAGTAAATAAATGCTACTTGGAACTGCTTTACAGTACAGTTCTCATAATTTAGGGGCAAGCATTAACTTGTGTCTGGCCAGAAATTTATACTACCTTTTATGTTCTGTATGGAAGATCCTTCTAAGTCTGGACATGTAATTGGGTTAGGGTTGTTGTTGTTGTTGTTGTTGTTGTTGTTGTTGTTATTATTATTATTATTATTATTATTATTATTATTATTATTATATTCATTAAACTTGAAACTTAGTCAACTGAACATTTAAAAATGTATCTATTATTATTATTATTATTATTATTATTATTATTATTACTACTACTACTACTACTACTACTACTACTACTACTATTATTATATTATCAACAACTGCTAAAATGGAAAGGAGCAATACATGTAAAGAAAATATATGCGAAATATTTTAGTCCATATCCATTCCTTCTTCTTGTCAATACATGGTTTATGATTATGGAATAAAACTTAATTATTGGAGATGGAGATTGTCAATGCTATATCACTTGATGTTTTACATAACAAAGCATTATTTTTAGGAAAAAAAAGGTAAAATATTTTGTTTATGGGTCTGCTATTGGAATCATTTTTGTGAAGAGCGAATCAATATGCTTTAATAAAGATACAAATGATTTCTCTTCACTGGTTTCTTTTCCCTGTCTCAAACTCATACCATGCTTTAATAGAACAATGAAAACTTATGAATATTTATTCAAATGTAAGCTTGGAGCAGCCAATCAATAAAAGATTCTGAGGACAACATTAGAATTCCAATCATCAATATTAATCTGATGCTAATATGAATTTGACTTATTAATGGTTTCAAAATTTCAGGGATTGGCTTAGGATCATTATTCTTACCTGCTATGGCTTCAATACTTGGGATTGTAATTGTGCTATAAGTACGAACAGATTTGCAAGACCACGTATTTACTAAGATTTCCTCTTCGTTTTCTTTTCCTGAAATAGTATCCACAAAGAAAGAACCCCACTGTTTAGAAATGGAATGGAGTGCTTTGGGTTGACGTCCCTGGAATATAAACAAACACTAAGGTAAACATAAAATCCATATGTGCTCTTATAGTTTCATATGGTTTCTATGTAAACAGCATCTCTCTAATATTCAAGGCACCGGGCACACAAAAAGAAGCTTGGTGAATGCTCAGGAAAGTCCCAATTATAAAGTCAGTCAAGAAACTCTGTAGCCTCCCCCAGGCATGAGAAAATATCACATTTCCAAATTCAATCACTTCCAGTCAATTAAAGAAATTCTGCTTGTAACAATTTTTTCTTATATGACCTGTATATATTAGGGATTTCACTGTGACAATAAAAGTGTAAAATGTATTAATTTATTTATTTTGCCTATACAGCCAGCAGCTCTTTTTTTAGGCAAAGTGTTCCCTGCTAGGGAGGAAGGGACCATAAGAACATCTAGAGGGCTGTTGCAAAATAAATAAATAAATAAAAATAATTCTAGGCATCTGTCAAATCAACTCAGATTTGTTCAGAGTTGGATTTGAGGCAGATCTGGGTTGAAGAACTGAGACATGGTCTTGTTTAGTTACCCGGGAAGAATTTAATCTGGTAACTCCTAAAGTAATGGACAAGATTCTTGTTAATCTGGCCACACAAGGCCTTCTAGAAGCATGGTTGAATCCATGCAGTGGATGGAATGGTTTTACCTATTGGGAAGGAGGTGGTGTACCCCATCCCTTAAAGACCATTGTTGGACATAAAATTTTTGGCCACTTTTGTTTTGTCTATATCTTTCCCATTTTCTAGGGAGAAGGTGGCTGAGTTGTAAATTCAGAGGGATTTGTAGAAAATAAGTTATCTGAATCTTTTTCAGCTGGGTTTCAGACAGACTGTACTGGTCCAAGGTCTCTAGTAGAGGTAGGACAGGGATCGTGCAATCATCCTGAATATTGCCTGCTCTATTTTAAATTTTTATATTGAGTTTTAGTGTTTTTAATATTTTATTTGTGCACTATCTAGTGAGGGAGATGAGTTGTTTCTAAATTTAATAAACATACAGACAAGCAAACGAATCTCCTTGATCTCTCAGTGGCCTTTGATACCATCAATCAGGTTATACTTTTGGACTGACTATAACACGGGCATGGTGTTCTGGTGGTTCTCCTCTTTTTTCCAGTTCCAGCTGTCAATCCTGTGTCAATGTTAATAACAGGAGAGAAATGGAGTTCAAACCTCTTGACCTGCCAAAGAGCTGGTACTCTTGCTTCTTCTTCTTTTGACATGTTTTTTCTGTTGCCTGCCCTCTGAGCTTATTCTCTGAAGAGAAATGAAAAGTCTTTGGGCATGAGGACACTCAGCAGAATGATGAGAGCTCTCCACTTGTGTGCACAGGAGCTTCCATATAATAGGTAATGATTTATCGCATGTTATTTTCCAATTTAGCTAGCTCAAAACCAAAACACTGGAACAAAATCTATTTTAAGTCAATGTTCAAATGAATTTAATAATGCAATTATGAACTATAGAACCACACACGACAGATTAAGTTCTATAGCTCAAGGTGATTTAGTTTATCGGTGATCATAGCATGAAGTCACCCTTCATTTTATCCTTGCAACAATAATTTTGTGGGATAAATTGAGGTCAGAGAGTGACTGGGTAAAAATCATCTATCTTTGACTGAGGGGAGACTTACAATTAATCTGCATCACGTACTACTACCAATACTGCTGACAGAAATGTAAATTAATGTGAAGAACTGGCTCTTGTGAAACAAATGGCTTTTTACAGTTAAGAATAGAAAAGTGTTCTTCTCTGATTCCTGTACAATTAAATCCAGGGAGATTGAGATAATTTTTAAAGTAAACTTTGTATAGAAGTCAACAGAAAATGGCTTTGAACCATCCAGGGCATTCTTCCTGAAACGCATAAAGCATACTTATTATCCTGTGCTACAAGTGTTTATTTTAATAAGGATAAGGGTATGTTTCTTTTCTTTCCTAGTTTTGCAAAACACAGGAAGGAAGCCACAGCTGAACACAGTTCATTTATCTTCCTACTTTGATGTATGTCTTCAGAAAAAAAAAGGAAAAAATACATTTATAATGACATGAAAGGTAAATAATGCAAGATAATTGTTAAGCAAAATTCTAATTATTTTAGGGCATATAATGCTTTTTGACTTTTATTTATTTATTCTATGACTTGAAATGAAGTAGACAATTATCCTTTATTTGCTGAGGAGGCAGCAAGTGAATCTGGCTTCTCCACTGACTTTGCTTGATAGAAGATCATAAAAGATAATCATATGACCTGTAACTCGTTAAAGGAAGGAAGAAAGGAAGGAAGGAAGGAAGGGAAGGAAAGGAATATTTCTAATCCTCCCTGAAAATGTCCCACAAGGAAATTCAATGGGAAAACTGACGGGAAGTCAGAAACCACTCCTATTCTTACTGTTTTTTTGCCCAGCCATGATCATTTTGTTTCTCTTTTTAGTTAAGGAAATATGTCTGAAACATAACCCAATGGAAACATTTTAATCATTGAAACTCTGTTTTTAATGCACAAAAATAATGGTTAGATCTGTATATGAAGCCATTCAGGGAAGGCTACCATATATCTGTGGCCTTTTAAACATTTGCTGAATTAAAACTGCCAGCATCCTGATCATCCATTTTAAGTCCTACTGCTAAAAGCTTTTGAGAATTAAGACTTCAAGAAGTTTCCCTGCCTTCTAATATCTGATAACGCTTATATCATTACTACAATAAAAATGACAGGCTCTATAACCATCATCAATATGAGCCAGTTGTTAACAATCTGAATTTTGATCGCATGACCATGGAAATGCTGCAACCAGTCATAAGTGTGAAAAACAGTCATAAGTCACTTTTTTCAGTGACATTATAACTTTGGACAGTGACTAAACAAACTGTTGTAAGTTAAGGACTACCTGTAGTGATTTTCCAAATGCTATGTCAACCTCTCCCATAATGGAGGAGGAGCCGAGTTGTACCAGATTATCCTTACCTCATACTTTCCCTTCTTCTCTAAGGGTTCAGACCTTGACTCTGTAAGTACCAAACCACCATCTCCTCCAAGCTCTTCTAAAACAAGGACAGTCTCCCAGTTACAATAGTGATGAGCTGAGAAAATATCTGAGTGCATACTATCACCAAAGTAAACGACCTGGAAATAAGGAAACATAGCAATTTCATCTAATAAATAAATAGCTGCATTTGGACATTCAGAGCATTATGAGTCTTTGCTGATCATCTTCAATTCGCTTAGGATCTACCAGTGAATCCCAAATTAATTAATATTACCCCTGACTTAAAATATGTTAATAATAATAATGATAATTAAGCTTGCAATGTAATGGACACAGACTTGAGAATAAAGTACATTAAAACACATTTGGAATTTCTTTGAAAGGTAATCATGCATTAAATTAAGCTACACACATCTTGTATTCAATATTAAAAATTAATATGAAGCTTGCTTGTATTTCCTGTTAGCTGATGATGTTTATATTATTGTTATTACAATGGCTTACTTCTAGATCTCTAAAAAATTGGTTTCTAAGAAGTTGAATTTGTGTTGATGTTGAGAATGCCTTCTTATAAGGAGGCTCTGCTATCATGCCTTCACTTTTGTTTATTAAAGTACCTTTGGTTCTATTTTGCCAGTCATCTTCTTCAGCAAGTCACACAAATGGGTTGAGTTACCTTGGGAATACCAGCCAGGTTTGTCCAGGGTTGGGAGTGCTTCTTGTTCTTCATCATTCTCTGAAGTAATAAAAGATATTTATCTATTTTATTGAAAATGCAAGAAACAAAGCACTCCTCTGAAATAACTAAAGGCACACTGAAAAAAATTAATTTTGAGAATAGACCAAATGGCGGAAAGAGAAGTGAGGAAAGATAAGAAAAAAAAAGAAGCATTGATTTCCGACTCTCTGTTACAGTAAAATAAGACATTAACATTAACTGCTTTTCTATTTACTTTGTATTTTATAATACTTTATAACTTAATAAAAATGTTAAAGAAAAAAAAAGAGTGATACCTGATATGATACCTGCAACATATCCCACAAATTATAGTTCGCATCACTGTTTTTCATCTTCTGGTGGAGTCACCAATAACATTTACAACCTCCTTTAGAAAGCTTTAAAGGAAGATGTCTTAAAATTATACAAGAAATTATTTTTGTGTCCTGGAAATTGAATATATAAAGATCTGAACTGGGGCTAGGATAATTTAATAAAAAAACAAAATGGAGGTTTATATCTGTATCAATATAATTTAAAGCAATGTTAGAAATTAAGGTCACAGAACCATTACGTAAAAAAAATAAATTAGATATGGGGCAGATGGTAAAGGCACAGGCAGTTAAGAAGGATAAAAAGACAGATATCGAGTTAAAGAGAAAGACACAGATTTTTAAACAGGTCTAGGTTAAACAGGTTTGACATTCTATCAGTGCAATTTTATCACTGCAATTTTAAAACAATTCTTTGCAGGTCTTGTGCCAAAAATAGTTTAAAATGCACATTTTTGATACAAATGCTTCACTGTTACATTCATTATATGCCATAGCCCAAATGCATCTTACAGTCATGAAATGGATATACAGTGTAGAATCCCAAGAATGAAGCTGCTAATATGCAGAGTACGTTGGCTGGTTTTACTGGAATAAAACTCAAATCAATCAAAACTTTAAAACTTTTTATAACATGAAAAATGAGTAGTTCCACACAAAACAGTTGTTTATAGGAGTTCTGTATAAAATGGTTAAAAGGAAGGGGAAGCCCTAAAAAACAACACATCTCGTTTTTAACATAAGCAGAAAACTGCGTTCACTTCATTCTTTTTTTTTATAAGCAGTCACTGGTGATATAGACAAAGGTGCATTATTCTTATTATTTCCTCATTTATTTCGCTTGTTGATTCAGGAACATCAATCAGATCTTTTTTCTACCCCGTTTCCCCAAAAATATGACCTATCCTGAAAGTAAGCCCTAGCTTGATTTTTACATGTGTACCTAATATAAGCCCTACCCCCAAAATAAGCCCTAATTAAGATCCTGCCCACTCCAGAGTGCACAGGTAAAAATTAAGCTACAGTGGAGCTGCCCTACTACTTTCCTTTGGACAGTTATAGCCAGGCTTCCCACACCCCGACACCTGCCTGGCTGGCCCATTTCTTTTGCAGCTGGCAAGGCTGGCAAGGCTTTCCTGAAGGTCTCTGTAGCTGATAACAAAGCTCCGGATCAATCTGGAGCTCTGTTATTGACTGCAGATGCCTTCAGGAAAGCCTTGCTGGCTGCAAAAGAAGAAATTCCTGAAGTCTCTGGCAGCAAAAAGGAGGGCAGGGGTGAGTGAGGTTAGTCAGTGGATGACATCCCCAGAAAATAAGACCTGGTGCTTTTTTTACAGCAAAAAAAAGAAAGAAAAAAAGATGGAGTTATTTTCGGGGGAAACATGGTATTAGTACAGCTAATATCATTGTTTTGCAAACAGAGCTATTTAAACTGCTTTGTTGTGGAAACATTAAAATATTGAAAGAAGAAAAATAACTTTTAGGGGTAATCCAATGGGAAATCACCAAGTACTCCAAAGGACAGCACACAGCTACAGGGCACTCCAAGGTTCAAGAGAGAGTATTCTCTTTCACAAAGGAGCAACTATTCAAAGTTGCCCAGCAATTACCTCTGTGGTTGTAGTTCTGGGGATATGAGAGTTGAGAAGAGAACTGATGTGGGAAGACAGTATCAGCATATCATGGAAGGATTTGAATCTGTATAAACCAAAGTTCTTGCAGTACCTCAATATAAAGAATATTTAAGAGTCCTGCACTGTTCTCATGATCCTGGTTATTGCTAAAGAAAACTGTTGTTTAAAAATGATAGGAAGACATAATTTATTTATATTTCTGAACTACAGCAAGACATAGCTATGATCTTGGAGTATGTATGCATTTATGTGTAGGTAAATAATATGAAGGTCAGATAAATCAGTATGAAAAAGCATATGAGATCTTGTCTGACACACAATTGTTATAGCAAGAAGTGAAACAATCATTGGAACATTAGGGAGTCAGTCCTTAAAAGTATACTCCACTGAGTTCAGTGGCATTCACTAAATCATGTCCAATAGTAGACTATCTAGGTCCCCGTTAATGACCTCTATTGAGGGAAAATCCATTACTGTGTTGGGCATTCTTCCACAGCTTAACAACTCCTACCACCAGAACACGCCTCCTAATATTCTGCTTCAACTTTTAATGTCAATCCACTGATCAGTTTCAGCAGTTATCAGATCAGCCCTCATTAGTGCATGATAGAATTTTAATTGGTTGTAGACTATTACATGCATCTCCCCTTAGCTTTCTCTTTTGCAGACTAACAGAATTGCAAGGGACCTTGGAGGTCTTCTAATTTAACCCCCGGCTCAAGCAGGAAACCCTATAACATTTCAGATAAATGGTAGTTCAATCTCTTCTTAAAAGCCTCCAATGTTGGGGCACCTACAACTTCTAGAGGCAAGTGGTTCCACTGATTTATTGTTCTCATTATCAGGAAATTTCTCCTTAGTTCTAAGTTGGTTCTCTTATTGATTAGTTGCAATCTAACCATACCAGCTTCTTTAACTGTGACGCACAGAGCTTGGATTCAGACTCCTTATCTTCCTTATATCTGTCATGACCCCGTTGGAGCCTGGGTCCAAGGAGGAGGAGATGGAGCTAGGGCCAATGGAGGAATGACAGGGGAGCAGGACGAAGCAGTCCCAGGTCCTTTGGGCCTGGGAAGGGTCGCCAGTGAAGGAGATAGGGCACAGGATGACCAAGCAAGGGGGGGGGGGGAGGAGAGGGCAGGCAGTGGAGCAGAGGAGCTCCAGCAATGAGCAATTACCTCCGCCCGATTCCCCGAGCACGGAGAATGGAGGAGGCGGGATCAGTGCAGGGTGACCCGATGACTCGGGTGCCCTGCTCCTCTTCACAAGGTTCACCTAGGGAATGAGATTTAAAGAGACACTGTTGGGAGGGGCACTTGTCAGGAACAAGCATTGCCTTTTTCCAGTCTCACATGTTGTTACCGATGTCTGGATACTTTGCTTGCCTTGCCCTGTTTGCCTTGCTTGCCTGGCCTGGCCTGGCCTGGCTATGTGCGAGTGCACAGTGATGCAATTCTGCTCCGGGTTGTGTTGCAGTCCCAGTAAACTCTTCCTGTGATGAGGACTCCTTGGAACCAATTCCATGAATTGTGGCTGCTCTCAGAACTGTGCTTCTCCTCTGGACTAATACCAGGAGGTGCATGTTTAGAGCTTGGCTTCTGGACTTGCAGTGAACGATGGGACTTTGGGGGGAGAGTTGGAGCAATAAAAGGGAGTTAAGCCTTCATGCTTCCATGCCCAGCCCCAGGTCATCACAGTATCTGTCTTCTGAACCCACTTCACATCCCTTTTAAAGAATAGGATCTAGAACTGATGGCCGAACTCCACATCTATTTCAATCAGTGCAGAGTTCCATCAAACTGTTACTTCACCTCCTCCAAATGCATTGCTTCTGTTAATTCAACACCATTTTTTATGTCAGAAGAAACAGCAACTTTATTCTCAGGGCAAATAATTTTCAGAGATGATGGGGCAATCTAATTTTCTCAGGTTGTGAACCAAAATGTTAGATTTTCTACTCACAATGTCATTATGATTTGCACTCCCATCTTGCCCATAGTTATTTTATAAAATAAGCTAGATAAATTAAATATGATCTTGTAATGTACAGGTTTGAATGTGGGGGACAATGTCAACTTGGGTCTCTAAAATTATATAAAACTGTAAAATTATATTTGTATATAGTTGAAGAAAATGTGGCTACTTTAGAAAATGGAAATAAGTAGTTGGCTATAGAAAGAAAGAAGCTGACTTCTAATGAACACAAAACTAAGATCAGAATCATGTAATCCATGGGTCCCCAACTCCCAGGCTGCAGCCCACTACGTGGATAGCCATGTGCAGATCAACTTGTGCAAGTCATGTGCAGATCAACATGTGTGCATGCATGTCATCCCACAGCTTGCATGGCCCAGTTCCCCTCTCCCCCCCCTCTGCCCAACTACAAAGGTTGCAGATCACTGCTGTAATTGAATACAAGAGAATACATGTGGCTTTGAGTTGAACTGAGTTCTTGGTGAGCTCTGAGATGTTTTATTGCTGAGGTTTTATCATCAGTGCCAATGAATGGGGGTCAGGGTTTGTTAATACAGTAGTGCGCACTGCCAATGTTGGGTTATGTGTGTTATTTTGTCTGGTCGTTTCTGGATTAGTTATTGTTTTCTGCTTGTTTGTCTGGGGATAATCCCTACTTATCCGAATGCTAGGGAGGATGTGTTATGAAGTTTTTTTTGTCTCCCTCTTAGTGTTTTATTGTCTCTTTTGAATGTGTCTGTGTGTCTACTGAGGGCTAATTTGTTCAAATGCCAACCCTCCTGGATTCCCTAGTGATTTTTTGGATTTAGTTTGGTATAGAATGCTCACAGTTTCTGAGCTGAGACTATGGTCAAGTTTGTCTCTGTGTTATGAGATTAAGGAATCTTCATTCTGTCAATGCACTCTGCAGTCTTCTGCCTGACTGTCCTAGATAATACTGTTACAACCCTTACATTGTCTATTGTACATGACTCCTGATTTTTTCTTCTATTGACTATTTTCCTGGCCCTGGTAGGGTAAGCTACTGTATATAACAGGAAACAAACCTAGCACTGATGATGGTACCTAGTCAGACAACGAACTATTTACAAGCAAATAACTAAGCTTAGACAGTTTAAGAACTCCACTAATGTGGATTATAATTTGATTATAAGCAACTTTTGATACTGTAGCTTTCTCAAGTGAGGTCCTTTGTGTCCTTAATGGAACATTTATTTTAGGAACACTTGGTTGAATAAGCTAGAAATGTACTCAGTCCTGTGGAAGAAATAGCAATTTAATGGATTTTGCACAACTTTCTTATTGCTCTAATGCCATATGTAACATTTAATATGAAACACAGCTGTTTATATCATGTGTGTGTGTGTTTGTTTGTGCAGGGGCAGTTATATTTAATGGAGGAATCACTGGCAGAATATGGTAGAAAAATTTATAGTATTAAATATATTATGTTGGAATCTCTGGCTCAGTTAACAGAACATTGCCCTTGAATGGGCCTGTTAAGAGAGGGAGGAGATGTTTACTAATTCCTGCTCTTGCACTATCTTAGAAACCATTCCAAAACTTAGGAAGTCATCTGACAACTGTGTGAAATGCAAAGCTTCAGAATGATCTTTACTTATTCACCCTTTCTCCAGTGGGAGTCTCTGTTGGATTTCAGTCCTTCTTACAAGTAAGAGGAAGCTCTTATTCTTTTGTTATTTATATGGAACTATTTCTCCAGGACCTCAGGGCAAACTGTTCCTTCAATTTTTCTTTCTAGAAACAACTGTCTGGGGCATGCTGAGTTGGGGTAAAGTGACTAGGCCAAAGTCATCCAGTGAGTTCCCATGGTTGAATGCGGGACTTGAACCTGAATGTCTCTAGTTTTAGTCCAACACCTTAACTACTATACCACACTGACTTTTTATGAATAAAAAGAAAAAAATATTGTATTAACCCTTGCTTACTTGAATTTCAGTTCTAGAAAGATCAGTGATCCAGTTATAATTACTTTCTTCTATCCCCTTGAGCTTGCCAATGCAAGCGCATGTATATGAAATACTCTCCTTTAGCTGTACATTTCATTCAGGGATTTGCTAATATAAATATCATCATCATCATCATCATCATCATCATCATCATCATCATCATCTTAGCCATTGTCTGTCCACTGCAGGATGAAGGCCTCTTCCACATGTTTCCAATCAATACGATTCTGAGATTTCTTTTGCCAATTGGACCCATAATACTTGCTGATGTTGTCACTCCATCTCGTTTTAGGTTTCTTTCATGGACTCATTCTATCAAGTGAGATCCATTCTATGACTGCCTTGGTCCACCTGCCTTCTTGCTGCGTGATCAGCCCATTTCTATTTCAATTCTTTTACTCTCTTGATGATATTGTATACTTTCTAACCCATGATAATATACATTATATGTGAAATGATATAATTACATAATTATCATAATATGAACAAGTGAACTTGAAAAAAAAGTAATTTATTTTTGGGTAATGTTCTAATGTGCCAATCAAGCATGTCCCTGCAAATAGTGTTTCTCACCTGACTACCTTAATGTAAACATCTTAAAATACATTATTCAGCCTTAGAAATGTACAATATTGTTCGGACAACACATGGCATTCTATTCTTGCTAGAGGCATTACATTTGGAATTCCCTTAGTTCCCTGTATCTGTGGTCAGTATAAAACCTGTCCTTCCATTTCTTACAACTAAAACAAGAGCTTTCAACCTTCAATGTTCTCTTTAAACTACTGGGCTGTGCAAGTGGTAGATGGGATGGCACCCAATTAAAAATAGGCCAGTAGTGGCTGCGGCCCAGGGGTTGGGGACCCCTGTTCTATATTATGCTTTATTTGAATTTCCAGTAGGAGAGACTGAAACTTCTAGTCAGAGTCTATTTTAAGGCAAGTTGGATAATAGAAAATTTTTTTTAAAGGTATATAAAAAAAATCTAATCAGGAGCAACTTTCATGCCCTACTGAAAAGAAAATGAATTGTTGTTGCTGAGGTTTTCAAAGTCACCACACATACTCAAATTTAAGCTCCAGCATATAAGCTTGTTATGCTTTCCATACACAGGAATCAGATGTAGGTGGGATATTATCCAATTCAATAAAGCATTTAAAACTTGACTAAAATTCCTAGTCTTAATTATCTGATCCATAGTGATAACAAAAAGATCATTCATATAATATGGATGGAATTTTTAAACTTCTGTTTATGCCAATAAAATATTTTATATTTATAGAGGCCTAAGTAAGGTTGAAAAACCAATTTAAACCCCAATTATATTAATTTTCAGAGAAATATTAGCTTAACAGAAGCTATGGGACTAACTCAAATTAATAAAATACTGTGATAAATTATCAAACTGTTGAACAATATCAATAATTTTGACATAAAAGGTATGCACGATCTTAGGAAAAGCTATAATATGTACCTCATTAATGTATTCTTCTGTTACATTTAACTCAATATTATGCTGCAGTCATTTTTAAAAATTAATTTATTGAGTCTGAACCATGTTGATATAATATTACATTGTTTATTAACGTCTCTGGTGGAACAATTTAATCTGTCAGGCCTTCCACATCATTCTCAATATCTGCTTTGTATGATTCACTATTCTGCTTCAACTACATAAACAGAATTAAGTTCTTGTTTGCATGCATAAAAACATTATATAATTCCAATGTAGGTCATTTGTGTGTCTACTCAGAAGTTTCTTAACCAGGATAGATTAAACATATATACACACTTATTTTGGCTTTATTCAATATTTGAATTTGAAGCACAAGTTCATTTAATCTTTTATTCTGCATTTATTGGCAGGTATTTTGGTAAAAGGTCTGTACATGTGTTTGAATATGTTTCTCTTTTCTATATTTTTGCTTCCCAAACTTAAACATTTTGGTACGCAATTTTGTCTGACATTCAGAGAAGTGTTAAGGCAAAGGCTCACTGCATTTTAGTTTACCTATAGCTTAGGAACTGCAGGGTTACCCCTCCTCCCATTTTAATACAGACCAGTGAGCCAAACAAATGCCTTCCCCACTCAAACTAGAAACATTATGCTCTCCAGATATTTTAGGAATTTAGGCAGCTTAATGTGAAAAGGAGTAAGACAAAATAAAAGGAGGGCAACTATCAGATGGCCAATAAATTTGCTTACAACTTCTTTGCTAACCTCCATATTAATATGTTTAATTCTAGCTTACCCAGACTCCGGAAAGGTCTTTGAGTTGGTGTCCGAGAAAAGAAACCAGGTTTCAGGGCATTTGTGATTATAATGTCAAAAAGATCTTCAAAATCATTCCTACAACAACAAAAATAAATTAAAATGGTATTTTCATCTGTATGAGTAAGCACAAACAACATTTCAATTATTGTTCTCCCTTGGTGAAAGTTGAGATAATATAAACCATATATTCAGCTAAAGACTAGATATATACAGGTATATCTTATATGGGTTATCTGCATGTAACTCAGTCTTTTGAAGGACTTTAAAAATAATAGCGTATGGCATTGTAACAGTAGCCTGGAGACTACAATGCTAATGCAGAGTAGTACTCCACTGCTTGATTAGCAAAACTGTTAGGTACATGTTTGCATGCTTCCTACAGTGCGCCATAGGAGAGGCAAGCTAGCTTCATGCTAGAAAGAAAGATGAACAGCTTTTCCTGCAGCAGCATCCAACGCCTTTCTTCCTCCTTGAAGCTGCCTCGTAAATGAGCATCACAACTAGGAAGGTTCCGTGCTGGCAGGATTCTAACCGCTACACAAAGGTCCAGCTTTTCGCTCCACCAAAGTGGTACCTAATTATCTACTTACATTGAACATGCTTTTGAATGCCGAGGTGGGCAGAAGCTGAAGCGAGTGGCGTAAGTTCACCCTGCTACACAGTGCAAGGACTCAAACTGCTGGAACAGAGGTTATCTCCAGTGTCATAAAGCCACTGAGCCACTGCGCCTCCTTTTTTAAGGAACACATCAGGGAAGTAGTAAAAATTCAACAAAACATGAAATAAATATTATTTTCCAATAAATTATTCCTGTTAACGACATACTAAACAATCTAGATTAATTAGCTGCTAGCAAACCAAATAACAAGGCCACATACTTACATTATTTACTTAGTAATTGTATGTGGTTGCCCATCTTAAAATACATAATTCTGGGAGGTTAATGACAAGCCACAAAAATGCATAAAGGATCTTAAAAGAGTTGCTTAGGTGAGACAGTCAGCCATGCAAATTGAATAAATAAATAAATAAACAAAAATAGAACTAAGAATAATCTTAATGCAGCATCCTCCCCAACCTTTTTTGGCACCAGGGACTGGTTTTGTGGAAGGCAATTTCCACAGATTGGGGAGGGGGAGATGGTTTTGGTTTTGCTCACTCCCCTGTTGCTCAACTTTAGCTCTGCGGCCTGATTCCTAACAGGCCAGAGACTGATATGGCCTAGGGGTTGGGAACCCCTGCCTTAATGCATCCACCAAGGTGCTGCAGCAAACCACCGAAACAGATATATAATATACCCCACTGAAGTAAGCCAATAGATATTCCAGCCAAATAACTGCACACAGGATCTGAGCCCCCATGTTATTCATACTTTCTAGATTGGTCCTGAGGATGCCTGACAATATTGTACAATATGCAGAATATGTTTGCAGAATCATTGCAAAAAAGAAAAGAAAAAGAATGAAACATCTGGAAGGGATCTGGGGGATTTCCAATATTCTGTGTACAGAAATTCAGAAGTGTGGAAAAAGGAAGCAAAATGCGTTCTGTAAGGCCTTTCCATTCTGATACATTTCTGCTGAATCTGCTGACTTTCAACAAAATTGTAATGAAAGCAACCAAACTAGGCCCTAGTATTGAATATTACTTAGATTACTAATATGACAGGAGTCAAGCTAGTGTCCTGTGTAGCCTTCTGAGGAGTTTATTCTACTTACACAGAAAGAAAGAAGCAATTTGGTTTCAAACTTCATATTTAGTATTGAGATATAATAGAACTTGAAATCTATTTATAATAATCATCTCATTCTAACTCTTTCATACATGTGGAATAAAAGGATTTATTGGACAGGTTTCTAACCCTCTCTCTCAAGAAGGAGAAGTAGCAACCTCAAGTAATATTGTTGGTGGCTTGCAGCCATCCTTACTCAGGTTGAGAGATTTAGAGGAATGCCCCAAATAACTAACAGAGCATGCAAGAAGAAAGATTTCACTATCACGAACTGTTTTTAACTGCTACACTACTAGCAGACAAAAGTTTGAAGCAACACAACATTCACTTACCCTAAAGTGTACTCGCATAATAGTCTGCAATAGTCAGAATGAGAGCTAGTAATTAATAGCAGAATCTTTCCACTCTCCTTCAATCTTCTTAACCATTTTTTGACAGAATCAGGACAAGACCGTATATATTTTCCTGGGTTCCTTTTCACTTCAGGAAAGTACATCCCAGAGTTTTCTGAAAGGTGGAAAGTAAAGATTATGGTCAAATATGCCACATGTTTGACCTATCAATGTCCAAGAATCTGTTTTTAGCATTCGTTTCAGCATCCATTGAATTCAAACACCACTCAGTTTTAAAAATGCTTAAGTTTTTAATAAAGCAGCTGATAGAATTCCTTTGGGAAAGATATTTGAAAGGGAGCTGCCATAAATATTCTAGTGGGCGGATGGAATTTGCATAACTGAGCATTCCTGGTTTGTGATCTATTAAAGAATGCTAAAAAGAGCAAGGGAATGGAATTACAATCCATAGTTCGTACCTGGAAAAACTATATTGCTGGTCAAAACTATAAAATTAATAATATAGTTTCCTAAGCAAACTGAAGTTAATACAGACAAAGCCTCAACATTACCTGTATAATTTCTCTGTTACTTCAAAAACCTTCTAATTAGAACAAGAACTGGAATTTCCTTAGCTATTTCTTAACTAAGAGAAACCAGCTACTATACTTCTGGAAGCCCTGAGGTGAACAGGGACCCTAATCTGTCAGAAGTATGTTCTTGTACCTGCAGATTCTCAATTCTAATTCTAAAAGAAATGTTTTAGAATCTCAGAGAGTATAAACAGTAGGTTCTACCAGTTCTATTGCTGGCTAGACTATGCAATGTTTATATGTCTTATATTGTAAGTGAAAATCAACAGATCATTAGCAGAATTTTACATGCTTCATGGGACACAGGAAATTGAGATATAAACTCCTTCATTTCAGAAAATTAGTTACTAGAACAATGATTATTCATTGGCCTGCTGCCTGTCTCCTAGGATATATTACTTCCTTTTTTTGTGTGAAACCCCATGTGAATTAACCTTTGAGTTCCAGGGATCTCTTAATTGAAATGAAACTGTTGCTTCCATTTTTTTCCAAATTCTTTTATTCTGACTTTCGCAGGGAGATTCACTTCATCATATCTAAGTACTCCATAAGGCAGACTCTGTCCAGTACAGAACAGAAAGTATGAACATAATTTTACAACTCTTCCTCAAAGCTGAACACTAAAAACAAATGTTTTGACTGGAATTTAACAAACTTCTTAAACATCATCATAAAAATGCAAAATTTCAGTATCCAACAAGCAAAGGTTCACATGAAATCTAGAATAATGAATACAGCAATTCCTATCGTCTGATTAGATACCTGAATTACACTTGGCAGAATTTCCAATGGCTACTAAAGATGCACACTTCTGACTGCAACTTGCAAACCAAATCAGTTAATATTTCTACACATATTCATCTTTCCCACTAAACACCTGTGGTCAGGTTACATTTAAATGAAATGTTGAAAGGCTTGTATTAGCCCCATTTATTGAGGAATAGAATTTGCAGCACTATTCAAACTCTAAATCCAGTCCTCAGCCTGATTAAAGTTCAGAATAGAATAGAATAGAATAGAATAGAATAGAATAGAATAGAATAGAATAGAACAGAACAGTTTATTGGCCAAGTGTGATTGGACACACAAGGAATTTGTCTTGGTGTAAATACTCTCAGTATACATAAAAGAAAAGATACATAGGCCAGGAGTTGAGAATCATAAGGTATGACACTTAATAATAGTCATAGGGTACAATAAGCAATCAATCATACTAGGAAACAGTCAATATAAATCGTAAGTATACAAGTGACAAAGTTACAGTCTACAGTCACAAGTGGGAGGGGATGGGTGATAAGGAGTGATGACAAGATTTAACAGTAATAATAGTGCAGACTTTGTAATAGTTGAACAGGGTTGAGGGAATTATTTGTTTAGCAGAGTGATGGCTTTTGGGGAAAAAACTGTTCTTGTGTCTAGTTGTTCTGGTGTGCAGTGCTCTATTGCATCATTTTGAGAGAAGGAGTTGAAACAATTTATGTCCAGGATGTGAGGAGTCTGTAAATACTTTCACAGCCCTCTTTTTGACTCGTGCAGTATACAGGTCCTCGACTGAAGGCAGGTTGGTAGTAACTGGTGTTTTTTTCCAGCATTCCTACATACAAAGAATTGGACACTATGGGAGAGAAATCTAGAAAATCCTCAGTTAAAAAAAACCCAGAGAGGAATCATGACTTCACAAGTGGAAAAGATTTAGAGTGGGTGGCAGATTAAGCTTATGGTTTTACTTTATGATACTTGTTCTGTCTTGTTTACAACTCATAGATGAAATGATAGATTGATGGTGTACTTGCAAGCTTCAAATTGCAAGCTAGGCTTTACAATGAAATGTTTATGAATATGCAAATGAAATGTTTATGAATAATAATCTCTTCCCTCTTCCAGTTTATCTTTCTTGTAAGCCTACCAGTTTCCTGATCGATGGAAACGTTTTAATTGAGTGAATTCTAATCCAAATACTGTGCAAAATGGTAGGCCACAGTTTTTCAAAAATCCAAATATAGTCTATGAGTTTTAATAACAATGAAAGCATACTTTTTCTCTACTAGAAAGGATGTTATAGTTTTATCTGGAAAAGAAACTACTGTCTAGTATAATCTGTCTACTATTTATTTTGGAAACCTATAACTTGATGAAAATAATCAAATGTATTAAAATGTGCATGCTTTTTGAAATAAAGACTTGTCTCAAAACTTATTTTTGGAGATCTTTCTAAGTTACTCAGAAAGTAAATTAACATGTTTGTACTGGGATGTAATTTTTTTAAACTTTCCTTTAATTTGGTATTTCTAATAGATTGAAACCTAAGATAAAGGGCATAATACTATGAAGAACTATTTCAAAAACCTAGTTAGTCTGGCCTAGAAAAATTCTTAATTAAAATTAAGCATCCAAATTAAATATTGGGAGACCCTATTAGAAGTTCTTTACATTGTAGAAAAAGATGTGACATTTAATGAAAAATTAAACATTACTATAATCCAGTGGTGGCTAACCTTTATGGGCTCCTGTGCCGCAGAAGGCAATGCACGTGCCCCCCCACGCCCCCTCACCACTTCCTTACCTCACTGCACATGCCTCCCAGCTGATTTTTTGGCCTGTTTGACCCCTTTTTTGGCCTCCCAGAGGCTCGAGGGAAGCCTCTGCAGCCTTTGGAAGCTGAAAAATGCCCCCCTTTCATCACTTCCAGTATTTCTGGAAATACAGGAAGTGATGAAACTGGCCTGTCTGATTGGGTCTCGCATGCCCGCACAAAGGGCTCTGCGTGCCACCTGTGGCACGCGGGCCATAGGTTCGCCATCACGGCTAAAAACAAACAAATAAGAAACATGCCAACTTTTGGTTTAGTTTATTTTATTAATCATACATTCTATATAGGATTGTTTTTTTAAGCAACTGCAACTAGTCCAAATTATGCTAATATTTTGACTAGCTTTGAAAGAAAATAGAGCATATAACACTGTTATTGCATCAGTTGCTAGTAAGTTTGCTTTTGGGTGGAAATCACAGCACTGGTTATAGCCTTTACATTCCTAAAAGCTTGGAATCCTTTTATTCCACATAAATCTGTTTGAATTATAAAACTGGGAAAACCTTTCCCCTGAACTGTAAATGTCCATATGACCTTCTTTTGCTTTTTTAAAATAAAACCATCTCTACTGTTAACCACATTATTCCTGATTGATTGTCTCAATCTTTGAGTACTACTTGCATTTTTCTAACATTTTTTTGAAAGATTGATCCATTCAGACCAGTGTTTTTCAAACTTGATAGCCAGATTGGTCTAATGGTTAAGGCACCATGGTACAAATTGGGATACTGTAACTTTTAGACCTGACTTAAATACAAAGCCAGCTGGGTGACCTACAATATTCCAATACTTGATGGGCTGCCACAAAAAGAGGGATCAACTTATTTTCCAAAGCATCAGAGAACCAGAAATAATAGATGAAAACTAATCAAGGAGAGAAGCAACCTGGAATTAAGAAGAAACTTCCTAAAAGTGAGAACAATTAATCAATGGAATAGCTTGCCTTCATAAATTGTGGGTGCTTCATCACTGGAGGTTTTTAAGAAGGGACTGGACAGCTACTTGTCTGAAATGGTACAGGGTTTGAGCAAATGGTACCACTTGACTAGAAGATTACCAAGATCCCTTCCAGCTCTATTCTATTTGAAGACATTTGGGCTAGTCACTCTCTTAGACCTAAGAAGAAAGCAATTGCAAACAAATTCTGAAACTTTCACTTGAAAACAGCAGGAACTTATCCAGACAGTTGCCTGGAGCCAAAAAACAAACTCAAAGACAATATTTATTTATTCTCAAACTTCGCAACTTTAAGACCTGTGGACTTAAGTCCCAGAATTCCTCAGCTACCTTGCACATGAATTTTGATAGAAAAAAAATGTGTTAGAAAAGATTTGTGTTGTAAAGGAATGTACACACTACATTATTTTGGGGAAAAACTATCTATTTATAAAATGCTTTGGAAAGAAACATTATAAATCTGATTCCAACGAAACCCACAGATGATTCCTATTTGCCATTCAGCATGACTTTTCCATATCATTCAGCTCCCTTTGGAAAAAGTTACCTCATGTCTGAAGGCACCAGCCAGGCCAAGAGTCTGACTATCACAACAGGAGGAGGAAGAAGCACAAATGCAAAAGGCAAAGCCAGAGTTCTCGGCAGCACTGGCTGCAAGAGCCACAACAGTTGCCAATAGCGCTCCAATAGGAAATAGGGACCATCTGGCAGATGCTTCAAACTGGGCACTTGCACAATCACAGCAAAAATGAGTAAGCACTGAAGGCTGACAGACTCTGAGATGTTGCAAAATCTCCTCTGCTGGTGGGTGGACGTTTATACCGTTTTCATTCTAGGCCTGAAAACCAGATGCCAATTAATGTACCCCTCTATTTAACTTTTTCATTCTATCTCTACTATTTATACCTTCTAGGTGTTCTGACCCAAACCTTGTTCAAATTAAACAAACACAAAGTATATATAAAAGCAACCCTTTTTAATCTGGCGCAGTGAATTCTGTGCATTCACAGTCAAGAGTCATTCAAACCTAATTGT